GTTGAAGATATTCCAGAGGCACTATTTGTTAATTGCAGTGAAAATATGTTGTTAAACTTTCGTCTGCAATTGTAAAGAAATAAGAACAGGATATCATCCTTGCCACTAATTAAAGTTAACAAGAAAAGAAAACTCAAGGGTTTACCCCCTATATGTTTTATATACATTAAAAACGTATAGATTTTTATGTGTTTTGGTTAGTTCATGTCATAGATCAGACTGAAGCATGCGCATGGATGTGTACAAATCATAACATCTAGAAATATATCAATTAGTAATCTTATACTATTTTGAATCAAGCATATAGGCTAATTATCTTTAAGAAAGATTTGCTTAAAATAAACAGCTCATCATCCGAATGGAAAATCTCATAATATGAAGAATCATTGGTCTTAAAATATGAATATTTTCCATTAAACTCCGGTTGAATTAGAAGTTAATGACAAAACCAGCGTATGCTGGCTCTCTATGTATACTCCTGTTCGACTTACCCATTTTCCAGATACATCAATTCACGAATATGACAGTTCTTCCCTTTTTATGTCCATTATGAACGTATTAATACTGTAACGACGATAAATTAATAATAAAATGACAACTCTATTCGTACTATGCTGTTGAATAGGAAAATACTCATTCATATATATTAGATTGGTTGGAAGGAACTCGTGAATTGTTCCCATCGGAAACCGGATGAGGATTGACCTGAAGCGAAACCTGATGTATTGTGCGAAGGAGTCTTCGGCTCATTATCTTGTGATTCCGATAAACGTGTCTTAGGCTTTCATCGGTCGTGATAGCCATTGTCATAATGGCAAATCATATTTTACGGAAAAGTGCCCAAATATTCGAGATTAAGAGAATAAGTGACTGTCTTCAAGCATAATCACTTCTTATACCATATCTTGCGATTTAAATAAACTATTTAATGACTAGATACTGGCAGGCCTTTCATCTCGTTTGCGAAGGCAGATGGAAGGGATTTGTAAATTGACCGTACCGGATGCTGAAGGAGGATTGCCTTAGACTTTTGCCTGTCGAATTGTGCGAATAATACCTCGACTCACCATCCAACGACCCCGATGACTCGTTGCTGAACTTTCCTCCGTCATGTGACGGACATCGTCAGAAATAAAAAAACCATTATTCTCGATGAATCACCGAAAACACTAAACGAAGGAAAATGGCCAGTTAAGATCTTACTTATTTTCTAAAACTCACTTTGTGATCTTAATGATGAATTTTTCGAAATCCAGTTTCTCTTCATATTTGATAATTTGGTTGGCAGCTTCATACTTAGCCCACATGCTTCTAGATAGATGAAATTAACTCATGATAACGAAAGAGGCGTGGTGGCAGATGTTTCCATACGTAAATAAACTAGCTTATATTGGCTCCTGTTTAAGTATGCAATATTATGTATTGTATGCATGAGATATTTTGGTCATTAGAGATATGGTAACCATAAGCAGACTTGAAACTGTTCCAGCCTCCTCCACTTGCTCCACGGTTATTCTAGCTCAGCCTCTCTCCCTCCCCCTGGGCCTATCCAATAGCTATAAATAATTTGTATACCATTTCCCACACTCGTTCCTTTAAGTTTAGGAAGACCGCTGCTTTTTTTAATTTTTATAATCTCCATAATCTTACGCTTAAGATTTAAAGTCTCCAAAATCAACAAAACTTTGCTTCAAACTAGTCTTATGCGTGTCCTGTATTAACCATATGTTCAAATGGTTTAGATTTTTAGACTCAGAGAACTTTACGGGCCATTTTGTGTCTATATGGATTGGTCGATATGTCTACTCCACATAGACATTACAACATAACCACAAAACCTCGTAACACCCTGATTTAAAAGGACGATATTAAAGTTCTCGAAAATAAGACAATACTAAGGAGAGCGTTAGTTTTTCTTCATGCATTATTCTAATGTTAAACTTTCTCAGTAGTTCACATAAATTTTTCACAAGTCGACATGACGACAAAATCAGAAATGGAGCAAACTAACCGTGATGTTTTGTGTATCATACTGTCTTTATTAACAATATTTCCAAGTGGGATGCCTTCCTTAAGAATTTTGAGAAGATCGAAGACGTTACGAGTCTAGCATCTTGCTGGAATATAGAGTTTATTTTCTACTTCTCTAATTATCTGCTGCCTATACAAAGTTATGAAAAAACCTTTCCAACCTACTTTTTCTTTAAAATTAAAATTAAACTCACTGATGGAATCTTAAAAATGGCCTTTCCTTATGTATACATACCCACATATAGTTAAAATGTAGTCATTTTTAGCTTGTTCATAGAGCCATGTGCATAGTAAACACCAAAGAGTGAGTTTTTTTTTAATTGTTCTCAAATAATACTTGTAAGATTGAAGTATGGATACAGAAATCCTTGATACCATGGAGCATACTTTCAACCGATATTAATAACTGGAATTGGGAACGAGTGTCGATCAAGATTAATTGACAATTATTTTAGAATACTAGCAATATGACGGAGGGAATCATTTATTTTGGGCAAGACAGATGGCTGGACCACTCCACTAGTGCTGATATTACAAAATAAGGCAGACGAATTACTAAGGAAATGGGACATTATAACAATGTGTAAAAAGGAAATATAACCTTCCTCAGCAATGCTATATTTTTAATAAGCTCCAAACAGTCCAGTCAGATCAGGCTGATCCGAGGTTCTGCATTCAAGTGGTAAGGCACATGTAGAGGAGGAATGCCGATTTATATACAAGAAGTTATCTGAAAACAGTCTGGTAAGATTTGTTGGCTCAAAATTAGAACTGGCCGAATATATGGCTTAAGAATGACAACAGACTGGCTTAGCAGGAATTGAAGATTATATAAGCTGGAGATAATGGATTCTAAAGAGATCGACAAAACAGCCAACAATTAAATGTAAGAAACGTTTGAGAAACTACCTGTGGCTATTGAATAGGATTAGGAAGAAAAAGGAGGATTGATTAGCATCGAATTTGATAATGACTCTCAGTTATCACACAATCTATGAGCATTGCATAAAAATAGCACGCGAACGATTAATTATAATTACATGTCAGCATTGCAGGAAACAAAATATAATGATTTAGGTGAGAAGACAGCTGTGCGGTAATAACCGCATCTATTTCACGTGTCAACTTCAGTCACTTCTCTTATATTCAAGTAGAGAAAAGGAATAGATCTAAAAAAATCGTGAGGCATCTCTTTATTAGGACTAATTCAGGCTGTAGAAAGGATGTACAAGTTTAGCAGGCCACATTTTTGTCTAAATGCTTCATGAATTTGTATTAGACATAGTTCTCTGCTTCAAGGCTGTCTGTCAGATATGATAAAAAAGCTCATGACAGATCCATTAAGTGTTTAAGACTTTTGTCACAACTCCAAGTCAAGCCTCCTTCAACTTCCGATGAGGCTGTTTACCAATCCCTTCTTCTCCCTTCATCAATTAAAATGAAAGGCATGCCAACAACAATCTGTTAAAGTAGTCTTAGAAACCCAGCTTCCCCTCATATGTATGTTTGTATATTTACACACACATACGCGCATACACACACACGCACACACACACACACACACACATATATATATATATATAATTAATTCTCGAAAAATCAAACGTTTCCATAGATATCAAACAAAAAGAGTAATAAAAAGCAACATTTACATCATACAATAGAGATATATCATATTTATGGTTAAGCTGGCTCAAGACTAATAGGAAATTAGGTAGGATACAATCACTATGGAGAAGAAATAATTCACAAATATTTCCAAAGTATAGAATAAGAGATCGTAGATATGAAGACCAAGATAACGTGGTCTTTCATTTGATCGCAGTCTCATTTAGCTGTATACTGTTGGTTTTGTTATGTTTTCGAAACTTGATCGGAGTGACAGAGAGACTTTATGGAATGTACCGAGTCCTGCGTCCTCTTTCATAGTATTCGTGATCCAAAATATGGCACAATTGACTTGATATATTCCCATACGTTCCACCGGCATCGTCGGTGAGACGTGCCATCTTTATCGCAGAGTTACAACTTATCACTTGTTACTTAGGCAAGTTATAACTCTATGCTAACTATCCTGCCTCTTATTGAAGAAACGTATAGGAATGTATCAAGTCAATGGTCCGATGCTAGAAATGTCGACTACTATGACACAAGACGAAGGACTAAATATGTTTCACAAGGTCTCTGAATGGCTCCGACCAAGTAGCGAAAACGAGGTCAAACCAACACTATGGAATATAATAATTGCAAATTATTGGGATAACTGATCAGCCAATGAGCACTTATGACTTACTAGATCAGAGATCTCAGCCACAGGCGTCAAAGCCACCTGACGTCGGGGATCGTAGCCGCAGCAGACGCAAATGCACCCTCCTGTTTGTCCAGTCATCACAATACCGTAGTCGGCCAGCTCCGCGAGATTATGTCCGGAAGCGAGCCAACCTCGTAGACGGACACAAGATGAAGAGCATGGCGTAGCAAAAGTCTGCCTAGCTAAATGTCCGACGGACTTTGAAGTGCTAACAACTGGACATATCACATCCCCAAGACTACTAGGTACCTCGATTAATCGAAGATCTGACAACCTGAGATTGCGTACAGGACATAGCTCTTCATTCGGAACAGCCACCGTTTCGACCAAAGATGTAGAATTTAGCATACTCTCGGTCTTCTGCACATATTCTATCTTACAAGAGGAGCCAAAATCAGTTTCACTTTGTCTCAAAGGGCTTGCAAGTTGCAAATTGAAGCAAGGAGAACGGTGGCTCAGAGAACGAGATAAATTATCTAGCTGAAAGGCCCCATTTTGGTCTACCTCTTCCTTCATTCCTTGGTCTAAATCAGAATTAAGTGGCAAGTTTACTAGCCCGAATTGCAGATCCTCAACAGCCTTGCTACTGCAAATATCATTGGAACTATCGTCTCTGTTACCACCAGTGGTAGGAGCGACCGAGTGTGAGAGATCAAGGGTCTGTATACAAGGTTTGGTCTGAGGTAGACTACGAGGAAATAGGAGGATCGGTAGCGCAGTGAGCAGAGCGAAGCCAGAACAGACAAGCATACCCAGCCACCAAGCACCCAACCAGAGAGGACTAGTTCGATCCAAGAGCAGCTCTCCAGGACCAGCAAGATCGAATGCAGTGGAAGTTTGGTGACTATCGATGATGAAGGGCAGAGCAGGCTCAGTTGAGATTGGTATAGAAGATACGATGGGCTGCTTGCGGGTAAAAGATAAAGGACATTAAAATATATTTTATATGTATGAGATGAATTCACCCTATTTCGTTTAAAGTAGTCTCCAAAACATACTTGTAAACAAAAAATAATTTATATGCGCATGCAAATTAAATTAGTCATTAGATAAAGAAGGATTATTTATATTATAAAATTCTTACAGGAGAACAGTACGTAATCAATTATAAATTAAGATTATGTGGGAATGATTTGATGGATTGGCTAAACTCGAATGGCCGAGTAGGCCAACATGAGTTGAAAACAGCAAATGGAAGCGTTTGTCTGCTCAGTTCCCTTTGGCGCTAAAGGAATCAGAGAGCCAACGCCTAAGGAGGACATTCAAATTAAAACGAGGCCATCAGAGAGTAGTTATGACAAATAGAAT